CACTCTCATTTTTATCTTGACTTGTCTATTTTTTATTTTTACCTAAATCTTTCTCTGATACCTTCATGTTATTAACCTATTCATTTGTTACTTTTCCCTTATATTAACTACAGTAACTTTCGACACTGAGAAAATGGATTTATCCGCTTTAATGCCGGATTTTACATGTTCTTCTTTGTAACCTTGATAAATAAATAAAGCTTAAACCAATCGAAAAAACATTTTGAATGGAAGTTTTGAACTTAAACTCCCCAAAGTAAAATACAACGAAATTCATAATTCTCAATGTTTTACAGTATCTAACTTATATGGTAAGTGTGTAATGCTGGAAGGTCACGTGGACGATCCAAGTTTGAAATAAAACAGTCCTGAATAACTGAAGAACTACTGGTTTACACATTGGTTTATTATTCATGGTAAATAATCAATTGGCGGTAGTTGCAACGATTTCCCATTGCGATTAATTCTTACTTTGAAACTATTAGTCCGAACATTACTTGCATGTAAATGGTAAGCTTTGATTATTCTACATGGATTATATGCAGTTAAATTCAATATTCTATTCATTTCATACAAAAGTCGATTTTCACCACTTTGAGAAACAATGACAGACGATAAATAAAACCTTTGCTGTATACACATGCCTTACTTACCCTAGTACTCCGCCAATATCGATATCAGTTACATTCAATATTCGTTCGAAGTTCTCACTAATAATCGGTGGATGAATAATATATGTGTCATAACTGCCCCAATGTTTATGAACACCAAAACACCTTTTATCTGTTGGATTACCGTCAATAGATGTTTCAATAACGCTTAATGCAATTACTTTTTGTTCCATATGTGTTATGTTCCGTAATAAACGAAGTGTATGGTCAAAATAAATATCCCCATTACAGAGAACAACAATTAACCCTTAAAGAAACCAGTCAATGTAAGTATAGATATGTGGCCAGAATGGCTGTGTATACCTCGAAGACGATACTGGATAAATTTCAAAGCAACGTTGAATTTCAGACGACGACCAATTACCCAACAATAGATACAAGTATGCTTCTGAAATTCGATGCAGAACTGATCACTATTTCTTTCTAGAATTCTTTAGTAGAAAAAAAGCACAACCTAGGTACTATGACTGAACGGAACCAATATGCCTGGGCTGTGCTGTTCTTTTTGTATGGAATATTTGAAAAGAAATGATGATCACTTCTCGTTCTGAAGAACTAAACTGAAACTGTCTCGCCCTTAGTGACTAGCGATAAAGAACTCTTAGTGGCAATAGAATCAATGTTCTTCACGTGTGAGACTATTTTCTCTTTGAGCACATCTGTGTGGTGATTATTCTGTCGTTTCCACTTCCGCTCGTGCGGTGTACTATGAAGAGAAAACAGTTCATCAGTACTTGCATATTTTCTAATTATTGTCAATGGGCAGTCATTACAATTCTCTAACAATAAATGAATATAATTAATTTCCATATTAGTTAACCCTCATTTCGCCACCTATTGACTACTAAACTTTTACTCGAGTGGGGTCCGTACGGACCCCAGCTCGATTTTCAAGTATAAAGAGAAAAATTTTTCATCAATCTGTGCAGTAAATATGAGTAATATTTGTAGAAGATT